CTCAGTCCCCTCTCCTCTGGAGGAGGCCTGGGGTTGTGAACAGCCTAGCAGGGTGTGAGCAAGAACCCGCCTAGCAGTCAGCAGGCCTGGGTTCGAGGCCACCATGTGACCTTGGGCTAGCTATTCACCAGGCCTGAGCCTTGGGGTCTCCGACTGGGGACTGCAGATTGTAATTGGGCCGTGGGGTGAGGGCACAGTGGGCAGTGGGCAGGTGATTAGCACACCAGCCCTGGGGAGGGAGCTCAGCTATGGAGTGTCACCTTCTGCCCCGTGCATGAACCTTGGCAAGGCACCTTCCTGTCCAAGCCCCAGTTTCTCTGGAGCACGGGGATGCTGCACCCCCCTTCTTGGGCTACGTGGAAACCAAGTGTAGACGAGGTGTCTGTTCATAGCACACGGCTCACAGTGTGGGCTGTTTGGGGACAATGGCCTGAGTGCAGGGGGTTTAGGATGGGGTGTTCAAAAAGTTTGTGGAAAATTTGGGGTAAGGGAAACTACAAGTGGTTAAGGTGGCTGGATCCAACATGGCCAACCACACGGTTCAGGTCCCAGACCCGGTGGCTTGAAGGGCACCATGGGCATGTGCGCATGCATGGCCAGAGTCCCCAGAGAAGGATGGAGACAGGACTGCAGTGTGACCATCCCTCTGGGAGGGTACTTTCTCACTTCCTCTCTGTCTCTCTCTCCAGCAAGTGTACATGTCCTATAGCAAACAAATAAAAAAGCTAAACTAAAAAAAAAGGATAAAACAGGAAAAAAAAAAAAGCTATGCATGGGTTTCCTAAACTTTTTGCACCAAAATAAACATATATTCTTCTTTTTCTAAGCTTACTTACTTCTTTCATGAGAACGAGAGACAGAGAAAGATCAGCACCCTGCAGTGTCTCTCACCAGGAGACCCCTACCCCCAGCCTCCCAGCCAGCCAGGGCCCCGGGCACACGCTCAGCATTTCCAGGTTGGCCAGGGAGCCGAACCCGCAGTCTTCCATATGGACCTGTATCCCAGAGCAGCGCCTTAAAGTCGTACTTGGCTTCCATGTCCCACAAACTTTTCGAATCCCCGCGCGTGGTGCTACTGAAGCTCGTCCGTTCTGGTAAACTCTGGGTTCAGGCTGTGGTTGCGGGCCTCAGTTTCCCCGCCTGTAGAATGCGGTAGCGCGGCATGCGGCTTCGTGCTGCGCTGTGACCAGCGTGCGTTAGTGGGGTCAGCGCCTCTGTCAAGTGCTTGGCAGAGATCCCTGCAGGCTGCAGCCCGCCGGCCCCCCGGCCTTCCTCTTCCTCAGCTCCCTCACCCCAGCCCTGGGGGGCACAGGGCCAGCTCAGGGTCTAGGCAGAGCCGTCTTGGCTGCAGCTGCTGGCACCCTGGGCCTGGGCCTCAGCCCTGAAAGGCAGGCACAGTCCCTGGGGCTCACAATCAGGACAGGGCAGTGTGGAGCAGGCAGGTGACCTGTGGCAGGGGGAGAGGCCCAGGAGGGACAGGGCAGCAGGATCAGAACACTGGGGACAGAGAGGAGGCGTGTGGGAGGCCGCAGCTCCAGGCAGGCAGGAGCAGCAGAGGCGCGCGGGGTGAGGGGGAGACGGAGGCAGAGCCTTTCCCAGAGGAAGGAAGGCTGTGTGGCTGGGTCAGGGCCCGGGGCAGGTGGAAGGCTGGGGGCAGCGTCTGGAGTGATGATTGGCACCCCCTGGGTATCAAACATTGATATTTGGGTTTGGAGTAAAGCTGAGGGGCGGGAGGAGGCGGTGAAGGGTAAGATAGCAAGTGGGGACCGGGCTGGTGGCGGGACGGGGAGTCCAGATCGAGGTCAGCATTGATCGGGCTCGAGGCTACAGCACTTGGCCTGCAGCGGATTCAGGGGAGGGCCCGGCGGTGGCAGTGGCACAGCGTGACACGATGCTGTGAGACTGACCCCCGTGGGTCCAGAGACCTCCCCCAGAGCACTGGGCTTGTGCGTGCCCTGCCCGGTACAGCCGAGCCTGGGGTGGGTGACGGTATCTAAACCTTGTTGGCGCTGTCTGTCTTCCTCTGACCCATGGAAGAAATAAATCAATAAACTTTGTTTTTCCTAAGAGAGATTTTTGCTATAGAGCATGTACACTTTCTGGAGAGACAGGCAGCGAGAAATCACCCCCCAGGGGGGATGGCCACGCCACAATCTCTTCTCCAATCTCCTCTCGGGATCTTTTTCACGCGTGCACACGTGCCCAGTGTGAGTTTTAAGCCACTGGGTCCAGGACTTGAACCACAGTCGACCACATGGGAGTCCAGCGATGCAACCACTACGCCACCTGCTGGTGCCTAAGTCAAGCAACTTTAAAATAAACATATTTACAGTGGACATGATGGAGGTACCAGTAATTAGGAAGAGAGACTGGGGGTGGACAGACCACAGTGGGGGGTGAAGAGAAGGCCTGATGTTGGGGGTCCCGGGCACTGTGGAGTCTGGGGTCCCCAGGGCTTTTGTTCTTGGGGGGCACATTTTTGTAGTGAGAGATGAAGGGCTCTAAGGCCTCGCTGTTTCCTGTGACCTGAGTTTGCAAAGGCCCACGGGGGGGGACTGGTAGCCTGACTGGTGTTAACTGCTCCAGCCCAGGTGGGCTCACACTCCGTCTCCCCACCAGCATGGCACCTTGGGCAGTGGCCGCTCCTCAGACAAAGGGCCGTCCTGGTCCAGCCGCTCCCTGGGTGCCCGCTGCCGGAACTCCATCGCTTCCTGCCCTGAGGAGCAGCCACATGTGGGAAACTACCGCCTGCTGAGGACCATCGGGAAGGGCAACTTCGCCAAGGTCAAACTGGCTCGGCACATCCTCACGGGCCGGGAGGTGAGTGGGGGGCTGGCCTCAGCGGAGGTCGGAAGAGGTTGGGGTGGGCTCTCCCCCCTGCCCTCTCACGGTCTGCGACCTACACAGAAAAGACACCAGGCCCTGATGGATTTATGGGCAAATTCTAATAAGCATTCAGATTTTATGGCAATCCTTCCAGGGACTCAAGACAGAGGTTCCACTGCCCGGCTGACTTCATGTGCCCGTTTGGCTTCAGAGCAAAAGCAGACAGGGAACAAAATGACAAGCCGATCTTACTTGTGACTGTAGATACAAAAATCTGAAAATATTAGCAGATAGAATCTGGCAGACCCATGAAAGAAAGCCCTGTGATGACAAAGCTGGGTTTATCCCAGGAATGCGGAGTTCTTTTCCATTTGACAATTTATTCATGTACTTCACCACAGTCACAGATAAAAGGAGAGGAGCCATATGATCGTCTCAATATTGGCATAAAAAGTGTTTGACAAAATTGTAAAAGAGTCGTTCGTGAGAATATGAAGAAAACGAAGAGACCCTCTCCCCCACAAAGAACACGGTCTTCCCATACGTGGCTCTCGTACACGTTCCCGGGGGTTCTGGGAAGACCGGCCTCTGAGGGATCAAGGCCTCCGGGAGAAGACTTTGTAATCTGCTGAATTAACAGTAGATCTGGGGAGGGGAAGCCAAAATCCTGTGGGCAAACTAGACCTAGGGCCAGATAAGAGCTTTCAAGGACACTGGCTGCTGAAAAACTTGCTGTTTTATCCTAATGCGTGATTCAGAATAAAAACTGAACTACATTGTAAACCAAGTATACAAAAGTTCAATAGTGTTCTGATTTTTCTCCGATGGCATTACCTCAAGCTCTTTTTAAAAAAATAATTACTTATTTAATTTTATTTACTATTATTATTATTGGTTTTAGTTCACCAGAGAGAGAGAGACAGGGAAAGTGAGAGAACAAGCCACCAAGCCCAGTCCTCAAACCTCAGTTGGCCTTGTGGGAAGTCTAGTGCCTTAACCACCACACCCCCTGCCAACCCCATCTCAAGCTCTTGTGAATATACATATGTGGGGGCCAGCTCTGTGGCCTGGTGGTTAAGGCAGCTGGATCCCATGTGGCCAACTGTGTGGCTTGAATCCAGACCCAATAGCTTGAAAAACACACCAAGCACATGTGCGTGTGTACCCAAAATCCCAAAAGGAAGGGAAAATGGAGGAGACAGGATTATGAGATGACCGTACCTCGTGCGGGGTGCTTTCTCCTCTCCCTCTCTCTGTGTCTGTCTGTCTCTCTTTGGCAAGCATGTGTGTCTCTCTTTGGCAAGCACACGTGTCCTCTGACCAAAAAAAAAAAAAAAAAAATGTGTATGTGTGTTTAAGTTTTAAGTGTTAAGAGGTAGACTCGTATCAGGCCATGGAAGGAAGCTCAGATCTGGGCCACTGCTTGCTAGCTGTGTCACCCTAGCCAAGCGCCTGGGCCACTCTGTGCCTTGCTTTCCCCTTGTGTAAGAAGGCAGTAATTGGACCAGCCCTGCCCGGTACAGCCGAGCCTGGGGTGGGTGACGGTATCTAAACCTTGTTGGCGCTGTCTGTCTTCCTCTGACCCATGGAAGAAATAAATCAATAAACTTTGTTTTTCCTAAGAGAGATTTTTGCTATAGAGCATGTACACTTTCTGGAGAGACAGGCAGCGAGAAATCACCCCCCAGGGGGGATGGCCACGCCACAATCTCTTCTCCAATCTCCTCTCGGGATCTTTTTCACGCGTGCACACGTGCCCAGTGTGAGTTTTAAGCCACTGGGTCCAGGACTTGAACCACAGTCGACCACATGGGAGTCCAGCGATGCAACCACTACGCCACCTGCTGGTGCCTAAGTCAAGCAACTTTAAAATAAACATATTTACAGTGGACATGATGGAGGTACCAGTAATTAGGAAGAGAGACTGGGGGTGGACAGACCACAGTGGGGGGTGAAGAGAAGGCCTGATGTTGGGGGTCCCGGGCACTGTGGAGTCTGGGGTCCCCAGGGCTTTTGTTCTTGGGGGGCACATTTTTGTAGTGAGAGATGAAGGGCTCTAAGGCCTCGCTGTTTCCTGTGACCTGAGTTTGCAAAGGCCCACGGGGGGGGACTGGTAGCCTGACTGGTGTTAACTGCTCCAGCCCAGGTGGGCTCACACTCCGTCTCCCCACCAGCATGGCACCTTGGGCAGTGGCCGCTCCTCAGACAAAGGGCCGTCCTGGTCCAGCCGCTCCCTGGGTGCCCGCTGCCGGAACTCCATCGCTTCCTGCCCTGAGGAGCAGCCACATGTGGGAAACTACCGCCTGCTGAGGACCATCGGGAAGGGCAACTTCGCCAAGGTCAAACTGGCTCGGCACATCCTCACGGGCCGGGAGGTGAGTGGGGGGCTGGCCTCAGCGGAGGTCGGAAGAGGTTGGGGTGGGCTCTCCCCCCTGCCCTCTCACGGTCTGCGACCTACACAGAAAAGACACCAGGCCCTGATGGATTTATGGGCAAATTCTAATAAGCATTCAGATTTTATGGCAATCCTTCCAGGGACTCAAGACAGAGGTTCCACTGCCCGGCTGACTTCATGTGCCCGTTTGGCTTCAGAGCAAAAGCAGACAGGGAACAAAATGACAAGCCGATCTTACTTGTGACTGTAGATACAAAAATCTGAAAATATTAGCAGATAGAATCTGGCAGACCCATGAAAGAAAGCCCTGTGATGACAAAGCTGGGTTTATCCCAGGAATGCGGAGTTCTTTTCCATTTGACAATTTATTCATGTACTTCACCACAGTCACAGATAAAAGGAGAGGAGCCATATGATCGTCTCAATATTGGCATAAAAAGTGTTTGACAAAATTGTAAAAGAGTCGTTCGTGAGAATATGAAGAAAACGAAGAGACCCTCTCCCCCACAAAGAACACGGTCTTCCCATACGTGGCTCTCGTACACGTTCCCGGGGGTTCTGGGAAGACCGGCCTCTGAGGGATCAAGGCCTCCGGGAGAAGACTTTGTAATCTGCTGAATTAACAGTAGATCTGGGGAGGGGAAGCCAAAATCCTGTGGGCAAACTAGACCTAGGGCCAGATAAGAGCTTTCAAGGACACTGGCTGCTGAAAAACTTGCTGTTTTATCCTAATGCGTGATTCAGAATAAAAACTGAACTACATTGTAAACCAAGTATACAAAAGTTCAATAGTGTTCTGATTTTTCTCCGATGGCATTACCTCAAGCTCTTTTTAAAAAAATAATTACTTATTTAATTTTATTTACTATTATTATTATTGGTTTTAGTTCACCAGAGAGAGAGAGACAGGGAAAGTGAGAGAACAAGCCACCAAGCCCAGTCCTCAAACCTCAGTTGGCCTTGTGGGAAGTCTAGTGCCTTAACCACCACACCCCCTGCCAACCCCATCTCAAGCTCTTGTGAATATACATATGTGGGGGCCAGCTCTGTGGCCTGGTGGTTAAGGCAGCTGGATCCCATGTGGCCAACTGTGTGGCTTGAATCCAGACCCAATAGCTTGAAAAACACACCAAGCACATGTGCGTGTGTACCCAAAATCCCAAAAGGAAGGGAAAATGGAGGAGACAGGATTATGAGATGACCGTACCTCGTGCGGGGTGCTTTCTCCTCTCCCTCTCTCTGTGTCTGTCTGTCTCTCTTTGGCAAGCACACGTGTCCTCTGACCAAAAAAAAAAAAAAAAAATGTGTATGTGTGTTTAAGTTTTAAGTGTTAAGAGGTAGACTCGTATCAGGCCATGGAAGGAAGCTCAGATCTGGGCCACTGCTTGCTAGCTGTGTCACCCTAGCCAAGCGCCTGGGCCACTCTGTGCCTTGCTTTCCCCTTGTGTAAGAAGGCAGTAATTGGACCAGCAGTTAGCGTAATGGCTATGTCGCTGGACTCCCATGAAATCAACCACGGTTCGAGTCCTGGACCCGGTGGCTTCATCTCACACCGGGCTTGTGTGTGTGCGTGCCCAAGATCCCGAGAACAGAATGGAAGAGGAAGGATTGCGGCATGGCCATTCCCCCGGGGAGTGATTTCTTGCTTTCTGTCTCTCTGTCTCTCTCTGTCTTTCTGGCGAGCGCACACCCCCAACAGCAAAAAATCTCTCAAAAAAAAAAAAAAAGTGGTAATTATCCTGCACCTGGTAGGGCAGGGCTGAGAGAGGCTGAGGGCTCCCCGAGCGCGCCGCCCAGGGCCTGGTGCGTGCAGAGGCTCAGTAGCCTGAGCTCCAGTTAGAATTTATCGTTTCTCAGCTCTTACATTCAAGACAAAGATGTGATGGTGAGTGACCAGAGGCGCCCTCCCAGGGGCCCCCAGAGTCTTGGTCACCCGCGCACATACCCGATAGACCAGGAGCAGCCTCACGCGGGCCCTGCCGTGGAATGGGGGTGTTCCCCTGCAGAAGCCAAGCTGGCGCTGGATATGGATCTGCGTGTGCAGAGGCCCTGAGGCCCAGGTTCCCCGTCCAGAAGGAATGGTCCAGATTGAGGGCCTTTCCGGGAGAAAGGCCAGAGGAAGGACGTCGAGGTAGTTTGATGTGGGGCCTTCTCCCAGGTCACAGGTTTGACCTTTGTGCTTCCTTGCTCCACCTCTAGGTCGCCATCAAGATCATTGACAAAACCCAGCTGAACCCCAGCAGCCTACAGAAGGTGAGGCCTGAGGCAGGAGCAGGGGCAGGGTGCCCAGGACAGCGGCAACCTGCCTGGCACCCCTGCCGGGGCAAGGGGTCCCCTGGACCGCCCACCCTCACTCTTCTCTGTCTTCCTTTCTGGCTGGGCCCAGCTGTTCCGAGAAGTCCGCATCATGAAGGGCCTGAACCACCCCAACATCGGTGAGAGGGGAGGGTGGGCTCCCGTCCACCTGGGCCCTGGGGAAAGGAGAGGCAGCAGAGGGGGCTCGCAGTGGGGAGACCTGGTTTGTCACAATGTCGTCATTGCTGTGTGACGTTGGGCAAGTCACTGAACCTCTGGACCTCAGCTTTCTCAAAGTGGAGGTAATAAGAGGGCCTACCTCAAGGTCTCTGCAAGGACTGGGTAGGATCATGCTTCCAAACGCTTAGTTCCAGGCGGAAGTGTCTGGTCACCATCGTCAGCAGGTCACCTTCGCCGTTAGGCAGTGGGGAGAGCGAGGGTCTTCACTGAGAGAAGCAGGGTCTAGCCGCCCAGGTGTGGCCACAGCCTTTGTGTGTCCGTCCCTTCACTCAGCAAGCATGTGTTGAGGGGCTGCTAGGTGCCAGGTGCTGGGGACACTGCAGGGATGCCGACATAGCCCAGGCCTCAGTGAGTGGCTATTCTTGTGGGAGGGTGGCCAGGGTGGTTGGGGGGAGCCGAAGAGCCTGGACAGTCCCATCAGCAGGGAGCCCTGAGGGTCCTGTAGACAGGGAGTTTCCAGGACAGGTTGGGGGTGTCTTCCCACATAACCCCTTCCTCATTGCAGTGAAGCTCTTCGAGGTGATCGAGACCGAGAAGACGCTGTACCTGGTGATGGAGTATGCCAGTGCTGGTGAGGCCCACCCCGCGCTCCCGCCCCCATGCCCCCTGCCCGCACCCCCCACCCCACCTCGACCGCTCCGGCCTCTGCCCTGCAGGAGAAGTGTTTGACTACCTCGTGTCCCACGGCCGCATGAAGGAGAAGGAAGCTCGAGCTAAGTTCCGACAGGTCAGGGACGGGGCTGGGAGCCGGGGACTGTGTCCCTGGGGAGCAGGGCTGGTGGTGGCTGAAATTGGGGGGCAGGGAGGACATGCAGATGCGGGTCTGCAGATGTCGGGGTGCAGGTATGCGGGTGAGCTGGGCAGGCGGGAAGGTGTCCAGGCACACAGGTGTGAGGGAGCCCGTGTGTGTGAGTGTGTAGGTGTGTGAGTCAGGGTGTGTGGGAAGTGGGTGTGCAGGTGCCCAGGTAGGCAGGTGAGGAGCTGTATGGGTGGGGGTGTGTGGCAGGCCCAGTGGCCGAGGGGCTTGGGGTGGGTGTGGATGTAGGGAGGAAGAATCTGAATTGTGGGTGTGCACAAGTATGGCAGTGTGGATCCCCAGACTTGTCAGAGTGTGAGCAGGGCCGAGGAGTGGGGGTGAGCAAGAGGGTGTGCAGGTGCCCAGGTGAGCGACTAAGGTGTATGGGTGTACAGGTCTGTGGTGGTGAGGGTGCCCCAACGCCAATGAGCATGCGGGTGTGAGGGTGTGCAGGCGGGCGAGTGAGAAGGTACAATAGTGCCAGTCGTGTGCATAAGCGGGCACACAGGGGAGGGCATGTGCGTGCAAGGGCGTGTGTGTGAGGGTGTGTGCGTGCGAGGCTGTGTGTGCGTGAGAGTGTGTACATGATGGTGTGTGCATGTGAGGGCGTGTGCGTGCGAGGGCATGTATGTGCTAGGGCGTGTGTGTGCTAGGGCATGTGCGTGTGAGGGTGTCATTTGGGACTGCAGATTGCCCTGACGACTATCCTGGTGTAAGGGGTGTCAGCCCGGGCAGTTGGAGCTGCAGGTCTGTCTTCAGGTGTGTGACGTGGGAGTTTCCAGGATGGACATCGGGGGTGGCATTTGGGCTGTGATGTCAGGAGCTGTCTCGCAGTGGAGGCGTGTCTGTGCGTGTTTTTCTGTGACCGAATCAGGGTGTGAGGCCCCCAGGTGACCTGTGCCCGGGAAGGCCTGGGGTCCCAGTGCTTGGTTGTGAGTGGAGTCGCAGGGCCACCGAGGGAGGCTGCGGCCGTCTGTGGTGGTACGCATGCTCACCTTCCCCCCTCCCCCCAGATCGCTATTGCCACAAGAAAACCATGGTACACAGGGACCTGAAGGTAAGCTCCCCACTCTGTGACCCAGGGTCCTGCGTCTCCCCAGCCCTGCCCTACCCCTTCAGGGTCCTCCGTGCAACCCTGTCTCTCTCGAGCTGTTCTGTTTGTTAAGGGTTTTGCCATAGGGCACGTGTGCTCACCAGAGACAGACAGTGAGGGCGAAAGTGAGAAATCACCTGCTGGGGAGGTGGCCATGCCTCAGTCCCTGTCCTCCATTCTCTCAGGGTTTGGGGCACATACGCACGTGTGCCTGGTGTGATTTTCTTTTTTTAAAGATTTACTTATTTATTTAATTCCATCTGTTGTTGTTATTGTTTAACTTGATCAGAAAGAAACAGAGAGAGAGAAAGGGAAAGCAAGAGAGGAAGCCACCAGGTCTGAGACTTGAACTGTGGTTGACCATGTGGGAGTCTAGCGCTTTAACCACCATGCCACCTGCCAGCCCTACGCCCAGTGTGATTTTTAAACTACCAAGTCCAGGATTTGAACTATGGTCGGCCTTGTGGGAGTCCAGCACCTTAATCACTATGCCACCTGTTGTCCTACCTCCCTCCCCCCGCCACCGAGCTTTCTTTAAATTTATTTTATGTGAGAGGGAGGGCAGAGGAAGGCACCCCTGACGGTCTTCACTCCACAGTGCAGCCTTAGCTCCCACCATCAGGATCACCCGTGCTCTCACTCGGGGTGCACAGGGAGAACTCAGGACCCGAACCTGGGTCCTTCCCATGTGGCCTCGGCATCGCGGAGTACATCGTGTCACTACCATTGTGTCCCGCCATGCCACTGCCGCTCTTTCGGGCAGATGCTGGGCTGGCAGACCACACGAGGCTGGCAGGGGTGGAGCTGGGATGGGAGGAGTGAGGAAAGGGAAGGAAAGAAAATGCCCGAGATCGGCCTGGCGGCTGCATGGGCATCTTCATCACCAGATGGGATTCAGAGCTCGTCATTCTCAGAGCCTTGGGGCCTTGGTGTTCTAAAGTCAAAACATCGGGGATCCTTGAGAATTGAGATTCTAGAGCCTCCGAGTCCACTGCCTGTGGGACTTGGAACCTAGGCACCCTAGAACTTGAGACGGTCCTCTGAGGGCAAAGCCGCCGTGCCCTGCACTGCGGACCCGGCTGCCTGTCGGGGCTGCAGGAGAGCGGCCCCCTCAGGAGCTGTGTTTTCAGGGGTCCCCATCCGCCTCCCACTAAGAGAACTACGTCTCAGGACTTCCCATCCTAAGGCCAGATAGATGTCTTGCAGCCAGTTTGTGAGCACCTACTGTGTGCAGGGCTGCGTGGGAGTGCAGAACTTCCAAGCCACATGAATAGGTCCTTTGTAAAGTGCAGTAGAAATGGAATATAAAAGGGCCAGCAGGTGTCATAGAGGTTAAGGCACTAGAACCGCATGGCTAACTGCACAGTTCAAGTCCTGGACCCGGCGGCTTGAAAACCATGCTGGTCGTGTACGTGCATGCCAAAAATCCCGAGGGGAGAATAGAGAAGAAGGGATGATTATGTGGGAGTCCAGCAACGTAGCCATTACGCCAACTGCTGGTCCCATAGAAGCCCTATTTTTTAAATTGGTATTAGATTCAAATGATACTGGGCAGGTTCTGGGTTCACACCCAGACACCTCCCTGAACACACCAGGTGTACATGCACCCGTGAGTGAGGCTGGCCGAACTGGGATGGATCATAGCGCTAGGACTCCTTTTGAGGTTCTAGTTCTTTTTTTAAATTTTTTTTTTTAAGAATTATTTTATTTAACTTTATTTGTTTAAATTTGACCACAGAGGGCCAAAGAGAGAAATAAAGAGAGAAAGTGAGAAAGCAAGCTGCCAGGTCTGGGATTTGAACCGTGGTCAGCCATGTGAGAGTTCAGTGTCCTTAACCACCATGCCACCTGCTGGCCCCTGGAGGTTCTATTTCTGTCTCTGCCTCTCTGTCTCTCTCATTAATAAGAGAAAGAAATAACTTTTTTAAAAAATATCTAATTTTTTTTTAGAATTATTTTAATTAACTTTATTTACTTATTTTTTATAGAGGGACAGAGTGAGAGAGAGAAAGAGGGAAAGTGAGAAAGCAAGCTGCCAGGTCCGGGACTCGAACTGTGATTAGCCATGTGGAATCCAGCACCCTTAACCTACCAGACCACCTGCTGGCCCATGGAGGTTCTATTTCTGTCTCTATCTCTCATTCATAAGAGAAATAACTTTTTTTTATAAATTTTATTTATTCATTCATTCATTTATTTTAATTTGGACAGAGGGAGAGACAGAGAGAAAGGGAAAGTGAGAAAGCAAGCCACCAGGTCCAGGTCTTGAACCGTGGTTCGCTATGTGGGAGTGTCCAGCGCCTTAACCACTGTGCCACCTGCTGGCCCCAAGAGAAATAGCTTTCTAAAAAATGTATGTATTATTTTTAAAAATTTGACCAGAGCAAGTGAGCAAGAGAGAAAGAGAGATTGCATGCAAAAGTGAAAAAGCAAACAGCCAGGTCCAGGACTTGAAACATGGTTGGCCATGTGGGAGTCTAGCACTTTAACCACCATGCCACCTGCCAGACCCAAGGAATAACTGAAAAAAATACTTAAACCCCCACTAGCAAATTGCTGTAGGAGGGACCAGCAGGTGGTGTGGTGGCTCGAAAATCATGCCGGGTGAATGTGTGTGCGTGCCCAAAATCCCAAGAGGAGAATGGAGGAGAAGAGATTGTGGTGTGGCCAGCCCCCCGGAGGGTGATTTCTCACTTTCCCTCTCTCTGTGTCTCTCTGTCTCTCTGGCAAACCCACATGCCCTATGGCAAAAATCTTTAAAAATAAAAATTGGGGGTAGAAGTTTCTAAAGCCTTGCTGTCCCTGTGGAACAGCTGATAAAGATTAACCCGGAGCTCGCACGCCCCCGGTGGAGGATCTTGGGAGTGGCTAAAATGAATTTTGGGGTCCTGTTAGTGTACCAGGGAACTACCCATATGTAAGGCTGAGCTGGATTGGGGAGCCTCAGTTCTAGGAAGGGAAATGATACCCCTGTGTACAACAGACACTGATAGGCTCAGGTTTGGGGAAGAACTCTAAAGGGGGGCTGTGAATTTCAGCCCCCTGTCCGGTAAGGGTGGTATAGAAATAAACCAGCAGGTGAGGAGACCCTTGAGGAGGCCACAGATGCTGGCAGCCTGAGCCCAGCGAGGATCGCATTCAAGATGCCCTGACATAGGCGATCCTTTGAAGGGTGGCGTGTGCACCTGTTGATGGTTGGAAGGCTGGAGGAGGGCCAGCTAGAGGTGCAGCCCGGATGCACCTGTGTGGGAGGGGCTTCCCTGTACACACGAGACCCGCGCATGCCCCAGTGACCCAGGCCGGCAGAGGCTGGGGTGGACAGAAGTGAGAAGACCCTACTGGGGGTGCCTTTTTCTCTCTCTGTGTGTCTCTCTTTCTCTTATGGAAGAAAAAGGCTGGAAGGGGCAGAATGCTGGCACGTCCTTGTGGGCTCAGGCTGTGCAGCTTCCAGCCTTGCCTGCTTCTTGCCAAGGGCGTGAGTCTCCCTGAGCCTCAGTTTCCTCATCTGTGACGTGGCCACGTGTTCACAGACACACACCTCGTAGCAGTGCAGAGCCTGCCCCAAGGGCTGACCGCGTCCCGGGTGCCCTTCCGAGCACTTTGCACTCGACCCCAGGGCCGCCTGCGAGGCAGGCACTGAGGTTGCCCTCCATGACACACCTGGCACACCGCCCAAAGCTACACGATGAGCGAGGCTCGGAGCCGGGATTCTTCCAGAATCTGCACCCTTAACCCCACAGTAGGCGGTCACTCAGTTTTTACTATTTTAGTTTGTGCCATAGGGTACATGCACTTGCCAGCGGAAGGGGGGTGGGGAGAGAGAGAAGGTGAGAAATCACCCCCAGAGCAGTGGTCACACTGCAGTCCCTTCTCCATACTCCTTTCGGGGTTTGGGGCACACATGCACATGTACTTGGCCTGATTTTCAAGCCACCAGGCTCTGGATTTGGCCATGTGGGATCCGGCACTTCAACCACCACGGCAGCCACTCTTAGACGCCCTAGTCCACAGGGTCTGAGGCTGGCACATAGGAGGTACGCAGCCAGGATTAGGTAGCGACTGTCTCCTCTTTATGGGTCTTAAGCGGTCAGGGCTTTTTTTGTTTTTCCCTGTGGGGAACTGAGTCTCAGAGGAGCAGACCTGAGCTCTGAGCACCACTGGGGTCGTGGTACTGCACGGGCTCATGGGTGCAAGGCACCGTTGAGAAAGCGATGGCTGGGAACCAGCAGTTAGCGTAATGGCTATGTCGCTGGACTCCCACGTAGTCGACTGCGATTCGTGTCTCGGGCCTGGGGGCTTAAATCTCACGCCAGACGTGTGTGCGTGCATGCCCAAGATCCCGAGAGGAGAATGGAGGAGAAGGGATGGCGTGACCATCCCCCCTGGGGGGTGATTTCTCGCTTTCTGTCTCTATGTCTCTCTCTCTGTCTGGCGAGTGCACACACCCTATAGTGAAAACCTCTCAAAAAAAAAAAAAAAGAAAGAAAGAAAGAAAGAAAGAAAGAAAGCGATGGTTCATTTCATCCTCAGACTGCCCATTCTGGCCCCTTCTGTCGCTATAATAGACCGTAGCCAAGTCTGGGTAACTTGGTAAGGTGGAGGTTTTTCCAGCTCGTGGTTTGGAAGTACACAGTCTAGGGGCCACATCAAGTGGAGCTTTCTGACTGCTCTGTCTGGGGGCGCACATGCCTCTGTCTGTGTGTCTCTGCGTCTCTGCTCTGGACTCTCGTTCTCCTTGTAAACCCACCAGGACTCAGTGGTGAGGGCCCGCACTAACAACCTTAATCCTCCTCTCCTCCCAACGGCCCCACCTCTGTATGCCATAGTGGGAATAAGTTTTCACCCTCTTTTTTTAATTTTGGCTGTAGGGCACATGCACTCACTGGAGAGAAACACAGACAGACAGAGGGAAAGTGAGAAATCACCCCCCAGGGGGACGGCCACGCCGCTATCCCTTCTCCATTCTCCTCCTGGAATTTTGGGCACACACACAAATGCACCCAGGGTGTTTTTCAAGCCGCCAGGTCTAGGACTTAAACCACGGTCAGTCGTGTGGGAGTCCAGTGCCTTAACCACCACTCCGTGTGCTGACCCCAAGTTTTCACCCACTTGATCCCATCACAGCCATATCTCGACATGCGAATGCTGGGGGCACCTTGAGACCATCGCAGTTCCCTGCGAGGGAGGGTCTGAGATTACCCACACTCTGTGGGTGAAGAAACGGTCCAAAGAGGTCACGTCCCCGCCCAAGGTCACACAGAGAGGAAGGAACCAGAGCTGTGTCAGTCTGGGCAGGCTGCCCCAGGGCGCACGCCCCCCATCCAACACCCCCGTCCACACAGGCTTGGCCCTGAGCCCCAGCTCTGTCCTCTCTCCTCCCACAGGCCGAGAACCTCTTGCTGGACGCCGAGGCCAACATCAAGATCGCCGACTTCGGCTTCAGCAACGAGTTCACGCTGGGCTCGAAGCTGGACACGTTCTGCGGGAGCCCCCCGTACGCCGCCCCGGAGCTGTTCCAGGGGAAGAAGTACGATGGGCCGGAGGTGGACATCTGGAGCCTCGGCGTCATCCTGTACACCCTCGTCAGCGGCTCCCTGCCCTTTGACGGGCACAACCTCAAGGTGCCGGGCCAGGCTGGGTACAGGGGACCTCGCTCCCACAAGCAGGCATGCCGGGGCGGGCTTCAGGGAGATGCTTTGCAGCCAGCAGGCGTGGGTTCAAACCCAGGCTCACCCACCCACCCAGTCAGTGTTTACCGGCCACTCCTGAGTGTCCGCGTGAGAAGCCCAGATCCCGCCCTCCTACCGTGCAGCACGGGCGAACCTTGCAGGGTGACAGGCCAGTCACCAAAGGCCAGCGAGTGTGTCGTTCCGACTGAGAGGCGTGCAGGACAGGCACACCAGGGAGACGGGGAGCAGGCGCGGCCGGGGAGCGGGGTGCACGGCCCAGGGCACGGGGTTTCCTTCGAGGTGGTGGGACGAGTGCACGCCTCATGACTATTCCAGAAGCCAGCGAACTGTCCGCCTAGAACAGAAAGTCCTCGTCCTCGCGCGCCGCGTTCCAGCAGCAGAGGCAGGACAGGACAGGACAGTCGCAGATAGATGTTATGGTCCACGCTGGTGGCAGCTGTCACGTCAGGGCCCTGCAGAGGCAGGAAGTGTGGGGGCCGTAGTTCCCCTTTTTGTCTTTGAACTTTCTGTTTCACAACATTGTCAGTGTCCATAAAAGTTTAAGTGTGAGGACCAGCAGGTGGCAGATTGCGTAATGGCTGTCACTGGACTCCCACGTAGTCAACCGCGGTTCAAGTCCCAGACCCGGTGGC